TATTTATTTTTAGTGGAGTATTAAAGTAAATAAGTATCGATGAGTATCTTAGACGCTATTTATTTTCTTAACTATTAAATTTAATTTTTATACTATAAAGTAATATGTATCACTGCATTTAAATTTATGTATGTATTAATCATATTTAGTTATTACGAATATTATAAATATTAAACAACAAAGATTGTAATAATTTCATAATGTGCATGTTAATGTTAATTATCAAACATTTAGATTGGATTTTTTTTTCTTTAGAATTCAATTGGAGTATTATTTTATTAAATTTATTAATTAATTTTTTTTATACAATTAGTTATTTGACTCTAACATTTAAAGCTCTAAAAAGATAATTAAAAAAATATAAAATGTAATTGGAAAAAAAATTTACACACAATTATTTAAAAATATTTGAATTTATTTCTCTTCTTTATAAAGTATAAATTTATTTAAAAATTCATGTAGTTTTCTTATTTTTTTAATTGATTAANGTATAATTTTATTTAAAAATTCATGTAGTTTTCTTATTTTTTTAATAGATTAACCTCCTCTAGTCTGAAAAAATGGTTAAGTAGTAATTCTTAATAAAATACAAATAATATATTAATTTCAATCATTTAGTTGTACACATTTTTATAACTGTATAATTTAAATATTGAAATAAAGAATTTATCCTTTTATAACATATATAATCATTTTTGAACTATCATAAAATATTTGGATTTATATAATTTAAAAAAAAAGTTGTTAAATTTCAATTTATAATAAATCAAGTTTTCTTTGTATTATTATTATATTGTTTAATTATTATATGCATGTGTGTGTTAAATGGTGACTTCCCGTGAATCTTTCATTAGTGATTTACTAATTTTTAAATTATAGTGATAGAATTATATCAACTCTATGGTTAATGACTAATTTTGTATAAAAATTATTGGAAAAATTTTTCATGTTTTTTACAAAATTTGTTACAGAATTTACTGTCTATATAGACAATGCTTAATACTATAAATATAAATAATAAATGTAACAATAGGGTATTACATTTAAATTGATGATTTTAATAACTTTTTTTGGATGGATGTTGCTTTAAATTTAGATGGGTCTCAAATTATTTAAAACATTTATGCATGATTTTATGATATGATTAAAATAGGAAACTAACTTTCCTTTATTATTTTATTAGAGAATTAATTTAAAATACTCATTTTGTATAAACTTTTGATAGTTAAAATTAAAACAATGTTAACAAGATTAATTTTGTTTGTTTTTTATTACATAGTACATCAAGTGTTTTATTTTTGCAGGCTATAATTGTTTTTGAGTCATGTAATAAAAAATTTTATCTCTGTTAAGATCATCATTTTAATTGTCTGATTTATTATTTACTTAATTCAAACAAAAATGGCGGCTCACTGTTTCGATCCAAACAACAAAGCTAGGTAAGATAGTATTTTTTATGAAATAATATTTTTAGATTATCATAATCGTTTTTAGGTGTATAATGGTTATTATTTATTCATTAAATTACTTTTGGAAAATTTTAGGTTTGTAATTGATAGTTAATTTTCCATAAACTTTTTTATCAATTTTTAATAAATATAAGAAAACATATATTACATCACAGATATGTTGAGAAAATTATTTTTTATCATTATTGTCCTTTGAATAGATGGGAGTGTTAGTATGGATAATAGTATGTTATAATATCTTATGTTCCGTATAAAATAGAACACCTAATTAAATGATTTATTATTATTATTATTATTTTTTTTTTAAAGAGATTCTTGTAAACTGTATTATATTTATTTGGAAAAAATTAAAAATGTTACATAAATTTTCTAGTGAAAAATCTATTTTCATAATGGGTATGTACTATATTTAATATTTAAAGGTATATATATAGAATTATATGACTTAATTTATAATTGTTCAAAAATAATTGACAGGTTAATAATTATTAAGAGTGCTTATTTGATATCTAGTCATGTTATTAAGATCTATTAGCAATACACTGAGAATCTTAATAAACATTTTCGATTGTCTGGGTACCACTAGGTAACACCATATTTTCCTGTTTTTTTCTATACCAGTTTTTAGGTAATACTTTGAAAGATTGCTTTGCGAGTTCTGCAACTGGTTCTGGTCCAACATGGGTATTTTCTGTACCTTTTCCCATTGGAAAATGCTTTTTCATTACCAGTCACACTGCTGTATCCTGGTACTTGCGCCAGTGTAACTTTATTCACCTTGTTAGTGATTCTAAAGTTTCCCTGCATTCAAGAACTAACCTTGAAGTCACCTGATTGTTACTAAGTGCCTTCACAGCATCTTGACTATTATTTAAGATAGTTATGTTCCTTTTCTTGAATACTAGTATTGTGATTACCTCTGCTTGGAACACAGAAGATGTTGTGCTCATTGACATATTGATATTTATGTGAGGTTTGGATCCCCAAATGCCAGCACCCATTTTACCTAATTTTTTGGAACTGCCTGTATTAATTACTAATTTATATTATATAATCTTATATTCCATTTTAAACGTGTTAAAATCTCAACTTTGTAGTTTATGCTTTCTTTAGAGAACAGGTTTACTACAATTCAAGGGATATTTTAGTATAATCTGATCTATGCATCATTCAATGCATCATACAAACACCATAGCATTTTGCACTTTGGTGGTTAAATTATGTAAAACTGTATCAGTAGATTTCTCTATTTGATATTCATGTTGGTTCTTATGTAGCAACTTTTATGTACCTATAATAATTTTCTTCATAATCTTAAGGAAAAATTAAGAGAAACTTATTGGTCGGTAGGATTTTACTTCATAGTATTAACACAATTAGGGCTAAGTATAAAAACCACCTTGAACTTTTGTCAACTTTCGGGTTAATAACTCAAGGCTAGGCATGCTCTAAATGTATTGCAGAGATAGGGAAAGATTAGATCTAGCTCTTCTTGTAAAAGTGCAGGAAATATTTTGTCAAAGCCTGAAGCCTTGAAACTGCCAAAAGCACTTATTGCCCATCTTTGCCACTTGGAGTTACTACTTTTCTGGTTAGCGGTCATTCGGCATGGGTTAAGGCTGAATACTTAAAGGTGCGCTTGGTGGCATAAAGGATCCCAATGGTCACTTTGCATTTCGAGTAACTACCCTGTAATAAGTTTACAACCATTTCACTTGGTATGGCTACGTTAAAAGGGACCTAATCGATTTTAGTCAGAAGGTATGCCTAGGCCTACCAGTCCCAACTAAATAAAGTGATAACCCACTAAAAGCAATTATATTTGTTCCCACACCCACTCAGATCACTAGGGTCCGCATTTTTAAGCCTATAATCATTGTAGATCTCCCTGCTAGGAACTCTGGCTAAAAAATTATAATTTTTTTATCTTAAAATAAAATAATAAATAACAAAATTGTATTTTAAGTGCAACTATTATTATTAAAAAAAATTAATGAAATATATTTAATAAAGCAAAATTCATGAAAGGTTTTTAAGTCAACAACATTCATTTAACACTCCCCTAATAATGAACTTTAGTTTACACTTGAATGATAATTATCATTAAAAAAATGATTTAATGTATTATATATTTTTTATCACACAAATTAGTTTTATAGTTAATGAAAATAATATGTTTTAGTTGGTATTTTGGCCAAATGTCTAGAGTTGAAGCATCAGATTTATTGATGAGTGAACGAGAATGTGGAACATTTTTAATTAGAGACAGTCTCAGTATACAAGGAGATTATGTGTTATGTGTGAGGTAAGCATATAGTTTGAAGAATTAAATAAATTATCTATACTCGTATTTTATAAGGGTAAAAATAATCTTTATACTATCTCATAATGTAAACTAGTCATAAAATATTGTGATAGAATCTTTATATTTATATATATATATATACATAATCTATTATATTTTATTGTATTGTGATGTTACTGGGGCTAAATATATATATTTTTTTTTACATAAAAGGGAAGATAGTAAAGTTAGTCATTATATCATAAACAAAATTCAAGAAAATAATGAAACAAGGTATCGAATTGGAGATCAAGTTTTTAGTGATTTACCTGCTCTATTAGCATTTTATAAACTACATTACCTTGATACTACACCTCTCTTAAAACCTGCTGTAAAACCAATAGAAAAAGTTGTTGCCAAGTATGATTTTCTTGGCAATGTAAGTATTTATTTAATTTATGTTTACTCCTTCATTAACTGTGTGTAAATATCTTAAATTAAATAATCTTTTAGGATCAAGATGATTTGCCATTTAGAAAAGGAGACATTTTGACAGTTCTTGTAAAAGATGAAGAACAATGGTGGACAGCTAAAAATATGATGGGCCAAATGGGATCTATTCCTGTTCCATATGTTCAAAAAGTATATTTGATTAATGAATATAATTATGATCAAGTTATTAATAATGTTTATAACATTGTAAAAAAAAATTAAAATATAAAATAGACAATAAAAATTAGGACAAAACAATATTTAATTAATTAAATAAGACATAAACACATTAAAATATTTAATCGTATATATTATTTTTATCAATTATTATAACTAAACATTTAATAAAATGTTTAAATTAATTAAATATTATGTAATATGAATTCTGATAAATATTTTTTTAGTATGATGGTACTCAACCTCCTTTACCTGTTAAGGACAGCTCTCAGAACTCGGGATCTACTAATGAATCTACTTTAAGGCGGTCCAGTTTGCAAGTTAGTGTCATCAAGTTTTATTAATTCTATAAAAAATGTTATTAAAAATGTGTTTATTTGTTAGAAAAAATTACCTGCATTAGCTCGAGTTAAGCAAGTGAGGGTACCTAACGCTTATGATAAAACGGCATTAAAACTAGAAATTGGCGATATAATCAAAGTAACAAAAACAAATATTAATGGTCAATGGGAAGGTGAACTTAATGGTAAAACAGGACATTTTCCATTTACTCATGTAGAATTTGTAGATAATGAAATAAATGACTGTATAAATGAAAGCTAATCTCTATAACCTTTGAACTAATAAGGTAGCTATTAATTATTTTTAGTGAGTCCAACAAAACTGACTAAGTTCTGATTAAATAAATATAGATTATATTTTTTAATGAAATAAACAAATTTGAACTTATTAATACCAGTGTTTTATTTATTTATTTTTTTTTTTTTGTCTTTGTAAAATCTAATTATATGCACATTTATGAGAAAAGGCTGATGACAATTAAACTTTGTATTTATGTATGCAGTAATATTATATGACCAATATAATAGAATAATAGATAGTTTTATTAAATACATTTTATGATATATATTTATATATTATTGTTTATTATGGAAATGTCAAAATATTATATATAATTAATATAACATATTTTTTAAGTATTATAAAGTGTATTTCTTTCATTTTCTTTTTAACAGGCTTCGCGAGCCATTTCAACTCTATTGCCAAAACTATCATTTTCTATCTTATGCTTGCTCCCTATTTTTTCCAATTAATATGATTAATTTGTTCTTTATGAATCCACTTTTTTAATAACCTAACTTTTTGTATGCAAATACTTGTAATTATTTAAGTACAGTAATTTTTATCAAATGTTCAGCATCGTTATTCCAATATAATTTTCACCTTTTTTCCGATTTCCTTTTATTTGGCAAATCAGTGACTTAATCTAGTCCTGCAGTATCATTACTTCTATCCATATCTGTTATGCAATTTTTGAACAAGGTTTGTTTACATAGCTTTAACAATTCAAGTTCAATTTTATCTTCCCCTGGAGACTTACTATTTTTTAAAGTCTAAATTATATAATGAACTTCTATATTTAGGTTTAATACTTCAGGTTCTGCTTTACTATTCATGCAATCTTTATATACTATGTTTGTTGAAGTTCTATTGAGAAATTTCTCTATATTCTTCGGCGACTTTCCCGATTTTCTAGATATCCATTCATTATCACTTTCTATTATCTGTATATTTCATACAAATCCATTTTTAAACGTATGAAGAATTCTAGAAATATGTATGTAGTTTTCAATGTTTTCCAAACGTTACTTCTCTGCCTTTTTTTTGTTTTTCTTGTTAATTGGCTACTTTTCTTCGTTTGTTCTCGAACTCGCTTATATTCAAAGAGTGGGTGTATAAATTGTTTTGATTCTAGCTTATTCCTTAATTGCTTTTTTACAATTTTCATATTAAACAAACAATATAAAAACAAATTTTTTTTTACGAATTTAATTAATTTTTCTATAGATTCTGTTATAGCTATCTTAATTATTTTCCACTATTCCACCATTTGTGCCTTGATATTTTATTCCCTTTATCTTCAGTTATATATCACCATTTCTTGAAATGTGTTTTTATTTTTCAATTTATCACATTTTCCAAGATTTTTTTTATTTCTAATTTTATTTTGTTAATTTTATACAAGTAGAATTTTGGTTTCATTGCCATCGTTTAAATGTGTGAATATATAACTTGTTTTTTTTTAAGAGGCCGTAAAAGATGTTATTTTTTACTTAAATATTATTTTTATAAAAAAGACGATCTATATAGGATGTTAAATAAATAAGGAAAAAAATTTCTTTTGTTCAAAAAATTGACCTATTTTTGAACATTTTGTTTATTATACAGTGTTCAGTAATCAATAAATAAGGTCAGTTGCTACAAACACGAAAACAACAGAAACCCGTATCCTTACTAACTAAACCCTAAATATCATTATTAACTAGAAGCGAGATTATGTATTTCAGTCTCGATTAAAGGAAAAAATCTCTCTTTTCAAACTAAATACATTATTTATATTATTAAAAATTGTATGTTATAGAAAATGTGTCGATTTTCTATAGCATCCAACAATAGATATACATAAAAATACATTCACATTAGACATAAGGATAACAAATTTATTAAAAGTTATGCGTTCATATTAGTAATTATAATTTTGTTTTTATTAGCCAAACGCCCTCAACAATTTTGAATATTCTTAAAAAAAATAAAAATTTCTGAGCATAATTATTATGAAAAAAATATTAATCCTATAGATTTAGGAGATTAAATTTTAAGTTTATTATACGTAAATAAATTCAACGAGGCAGTAACGTATTTACAGTGCAGGAGGTCCAAACTCCCTTTCATGGACATCAAAACAATAGTTGCCAGATATTAGGAGGATACATTTCCCCACTGCTCTATGTTTTAAAGCTATTTTGACCTCTGTACAAAATGTCTAAATACGCTACTGCAACAAGGTACTATTCTAAAATAAATAAAATATTTTAAATAGGCATGATAAGAAGAAATTAATTTATGTTTATCTTATAGTTCATGACGGAGGAACGGTGTGGCCGAGTCGGTAACGCGGCAGTGCTTGACGCGCATTGCCTCGATATCGAAACTCGGTCACGGGCGGCTTCACTTGCCGAACTAGAAATCAGTTCGGTAATTGGAGTTGCCATCCCTCTCTCCGGTGACGGACTGACCACCCGCCCCGGAGTTACAATAGTTAAGAAAACCACCCCTCTGTAAATGGGGCTGAAAAGCAAAATAAATAATCCTTAATAACATCTTGATATAGTAATACAAATAAAAAAGCTCTGGCGTATAAAAGGCACAGCTTCCATAATGATATTATCATAAAGGTTTCCCCCATAGCGCAATCATTTGACAGCCACTGTTCTTTATAATTAACTTTTAATATATCCTATCTCTCCCCTTCTAAAGAAAATATTTAACAGTAAGTCAGACGAACGAGTATCGTAGAATCTGACGCGTATTGGTTTTTGTATTGGGAAAATTACGACGAGAATTAAGAGGCGTTCATTTTTTTATAATAAGAAAAGTAAACTACGAAGCTATAGCTTCGTGGTATATTCAAAGGTAAGACAAGTTGTATACAACCTGTCTAAATAAGATATTTTACAGTTAACATAAATTTTTGTACTTAAATATATAGAACATAACTTTAAAATTACAATTTTCAACATTAACTGCAAGATTTTCTAATTATTTTAATAACTAGAAAACCCGTTTTAATAACTAAACTAATTCAAATAAATAAATATTATTAAAGTTGTTTATTTTTAATTAATTTATAAACAATATTTGCAGGTCAACTTAGGTGGGAGAGAATATTTATGAGAATGTTTATATTATTTAAGAAAAAAAAATGGTAATATTTATGTGATGATTTAATTGACTTGCTAGTATTTAAAAAAGTCGTCTAAGCATTTACAACACAATACAATAAAAATTTAAGTTGTTGCAATAACATGATGAGCTAATCAAAAAATAATTTCAAATATCGTTACGCCAAACATGTAGTTAGTATTTTATTTCGGGGAGAGGATAATAAAAGATAATGTCTCCCATATTCGCGCAAATTATCAAGTTTAATGTCACGACTGTAATGTAATTCAAACAATTTTCGGAGGATTCAGACCTCGTAAATACGTGCCTGGCTTACACGTTAACTATTTTTATCGCTTAGATAATTTTATAGTTTACTTATGAACAAAAGAGAATAAGAATTCTTTCATATTTGAAATATTATTTCTAAAGACGTTAAGTTTTAAACGAAAATCTCCTCGATCGAAATATTCCAAATTATATTTGTAGGTGCACATGGATTTATTAAAAGAAGACAATTTTTTTTCAGTAACATCAAAGAATCACCATGAGTGCGGATTGAGCAAACATTTTTGGAGGAAATAATTTTACTAAGTTTTCCAAACAATTTTTTTTTTTGAGTCATGACACCTAAATGTTATATTTATATATCCTCATCATATACATGTAAGACAAACATTTTTTACCTCAGACAAATTCTATTTTGCTTATATTTTCAACCAAATTAACCAAAACAACACACTTGAAATATAGTGTTTAATTTAAATAGAATAAAAAGCATAGAAAATTATCCAATATAATATCAGTAATACTTCCTCAATTTATTTTTATTATTTATATATAACTTCATTATTTTCAACATATTTTTTTTAAAAAAATAAGAAAACTCGTCCAGTACAAAGCAACAGAATTAAATACTGGTAAAACTGCAAATAAGCCAAAAAAATACAATCCGTGCAACATAGACACTGTTATACATTTTTAGTGAAAAATATGCCACTTTTAATTGTGAGAAGCATATGTGGCATTTATGATTGCATACATAAAAATATAAACTAGTTTAACAAATTCCATGTTTATATTATAATATTTTTTAATAACCACTAACACATTATAATTAAAAAATATTCAAATACATTTTTTATGATAAATCTCATGGTCCCACCAGCTATAAAAAAAAAATAAAGAAAATTTAAATTAAACCACCAAGAATTATACCTTATAAATTAAAAACCCAAAATACTGAAGTATATGTCACTCAATGAAAAATTATTAATAGGTACAATATTATTTTTTGTTTTTAAGAAAAAAATAATAATAATAAGAAAATTTTATTTGGAAGTTTAGATACATAATTAAATTAGATGATTTCATTACTATCACAATTGTTGGAAATATTGTCTGGCATTATGGTATATGCCAATATTATTCTTAGTATTACCAATATAACACATTTAATTAATCAATACACAAAATATTTGGTAAAATAAACTGTTTTGTAGAAATATTATTAACTAAATAAAAATAATAAAATAATTTTTGCTACATAGATAAAATACATTATTTGTTAATATTCTTCCACCATTTACACAAACCTAGTTACATCTGCAGCTAAAATTAAGAAATATACATAGTAAATTTACATAACTTCGAATAAAATGAACAACAATAAAATCCATAGATGACACCATACAATCTATCAATTTATAATTAATAAATTATACTTTAATGGATTTATAGTAGATATATATATAAATATATATATATATATATATAAACTTTTTTAAATTTTAGTAACACAAATGGTACATACAAAGAATTTTATAAATAATAATTTGTTAAAAGCTTAAGAATATACATACAAATAATCATATTTAATATCAATCTTTTAATTTAACAAAATTTACTAGTAATTAATGTTGAAATTTAAACCAAATTCAGAATGCAATAGCAAATTATTAAAAATTTTTAGTTTCATAAATAAATGATAAAAAACAAAAATATAATAGTAAAATAAAAAAAATAATATAATTTGAGGGAAAATAATGTAAAAATATATATATTTATATAACTATACTTCAAACGTCATTACTAAATATAAATTTTCACTTTAAGAAAAACATAAAGCTACTCCTAGATTTCGGTCATTAGACGTTTAAACCGAGATATGCATGCACACAGAAGCAAATTTTAATAAAAATAATCTTTCTAAATATAAGTAATATATCCATAAATATATTAAATGCAAATTGAATAAGATAAATCTGCAGCTTAATAATTGTACAAAGCTATTTTATAGTTTAATAGATAATTAGATGTCAATAATCCATTTGAAAACTGACTTGATTTTATTGTATCACTTGCAGCAGCTACTCAGACTTCTATTTGGACCCTCAGATTCAACAAGACGCCGACCTTGGCTAGCTGTATTTGATGTTTCATTTTTGGGAAGTTTTTCAGCTGTGAATTTTTTTAAATCTCTTAAATTAGAAATTCTAAAGCAGTAAATACCTGTTACATAATCAAATATATATACCAATAGCTTTGAAAATTTCAGTGACATTAGCACTAGTTTTAGCTGAAGTTTCCATAAACAACAACCCATTATCATAAGCATAAGTTTGTGACTCATCAGTTTGCACACTTCTCATTGTATTTAAATCTAATTTGTTTCCAGCTAATGCTATAACAATACCTGGAGTGGCTTGTCTTTGAAGTTCTTTTACCCAATTTTTAGCTCTTTCAAAAGTGTCCTAAAGAAAAAATATTTCAGAATAGATTTTTTGTTCAATACAAAGCAGAAAAGATTTTTTGTTTCTTCTATGAAAGTCAATTACTTGATTTGTTATATCATAAACTACAATTGCAGCTTGAGCACCCCTGTAATACATAGGAGCTAAACTATGATAACGTTCTTGTCCAGCTGTATCCCATATTTCAAACTTTACTGCTACATCATTTAAATGAATTGTTTGAGTAAGAAATGCCGCTAAAATAAAATAATTTTTTAATGAATCAAAAAAATATTTTTTTGAAATGAAGTTTTATTTTTAAAATATATTTAGTAAAACAACTATACTACACAAAATCAGCATTTTAATGAATTAATATTTTAAAATATAACTAACCTCCAATTGTACTTTCTTGGTATTCGTGGAACTGTCCTTTGACAAATCTTAGTACTAGACTAGATTTTCCTACTGATGATTCACCTAAAAGTACTAATTTAAACTGACATAGTTTTCCAGGAGTTTGGCCATTAGGTCTTTGGGGTACAGTTCTATTTGCCATTTTTTTATTAAATAAATTCTAAAAATAAAGTAGTTTATATTTAATAAAAAATGCACCTAATTTAAAAATTATATACAATATTATATTTTAACAATAGAACAAAAAAAAAATGCTAAAACTAAGTGTTAAATACTTAAGTATAATTTAAAAATTTGAATTTCTCCCTAACTAAAAAGTGGAACTTGGGTGATTAAATGTGCACAATTGATCTAACTGTGTATCAATAACACCTATTTATAACAAACAATAAATCACAAAAACTTAGAAGTTCCTTTTGTAAGATCTCCAAAACTTTAAATTAATTATACTAGTAGTCCACACAATAATATTTTCTTAGTGTTAATAGTACATTTTTATAAATAAATAACTTTAAACAAATTTGATACGATTAAATCTATAAATAGTTATAAATTGAATTGCCACTAAATAATCAGACACATTTCTAATTCTTATTAAATTATATATCGAATGTAAAATATGAGGTGTAATAAAAATAAAGTAATATTTATCAACAGGTTATAGACATTAAACATATGTACATAGTAATCATTAGTCTGAATAATTTAATTTTAAATCCCTTGGGTCAAAATTTATTTCCAAAGATTGATTGAAATAAAACACTTCATTGTTCACTGATAAGACCTGTAACGCGGCGACTATAAAACAAGATGCCCTAGAAAAGTGGTTTGTATTGAATAATTAAAAAATATAAATCTAGAAAGTAATTAAAGGGTCAAGTAATAATTGCTACTACTATCAAACTATTATACTATTAATCGTTAAATTAAAGAATCAAAATTCCATAATTCAGGTATCATAACATTATTCGTACTGTTAATGATATTACTGGAAATATGTTTCCGAATCGCCATAATTCATCTATGAGAAAAACAAACTTACTTGATTAATAAAATTCGGTGTTGATTTTGATGCACTAACGTTCTTAAGCAGTAAAACTGTAAATGAATGGAGCAGTGCACAGCTTACAATAATAAAGACGTATTTTAAAACGGCCTAACAATAATAATTTTAATACATATAAATATAATTGAGAACTTATATCTACATATATATTTACCACACGCACACAGACAATATCTAATCACTAACTTGGGGCTGTATAGATATAATAAACATTATACAACGCACTTTTTCCATTCGGGTGTGTGCAATGAGTAGTATGTTCTGTAAACTCGGTAAATGGGATAAAAAAGCGGAACATATCAGTGTGGTTACTTTACAGAAAATATAAATTTCGTTTAATATCGTGATAATAGCCTTTTATCGTTATGATAAATAAACTAGAAAATATTAAAGTTTTTTTCAAAACAAATATGTTTTTTAATGTACGTTTTTATGTATTTATTTTAAATATTCGTTAACGTATAGACAATTTTTTTAAATTAATTTTTAAGGTAATTAATTTAGAAAGTATTTTGTAACCCGAATAATATTTTTCGTTAACACTGTAAACAGTCATAGATAATTCAATACATACTTATAATTATTAACTGGTACATCAATTAAATCAGATATTGTCAAAAATGACGCATATTGACATTAAATTTTTATAAATTCTGATATTAAATTTAAAAACACGATTAGTATGTATCAATTTTCTTTTGAAAAGTCATTGTTGAAATAATCTTAATAGTTAACTAAAAATTCAAATCCATGATAACTCATTTATTTTAATAAATAATCATTTAACTTTATTTTGTAAACCGGCTATGAAAGGCATAATGCTACAAGATATAGGTGTCAAATAAGTTCATGATAGTTAAATTTTCAATTCTCCATGTGTTGTATGTGAAATAAGTAAAAATAAATAATTGAAACTAACTTTATATTCAAAAAAAAACCTAGCACTGTGGTATCGCGTCAAAGTTCGAACAGATCACACATATATATTTAAAAATATAGCTATGATTTGTGATCGACCATTATTATAATCTATCTATGGCAACTATAAATTATATCTGACAGTGATTAAAATCACTATCAGAAAATGCTTTGATACAAGTCTGTAGACAGTGTTTAATTTTTAGAAGGAAATGTTGGGGTTCCATAGATAGTATACTATATATTATATAGTGTCTTAGAATATTTGGATTATTTTAAAAGCAACAACAACTCCTATTTTTTTTAAATTATATCCTGATTACAAATTTAATGATTTATAATACATGAATATATACTTATCGTAGTAATTAAATTTAATATGAAATTATTATTCGATTTTTTGTATTATGATTTTTAAAGAGAAATTATAAAGTTAATAGTTTACCATAGTTTACTATGGTAAACGTATGTCAAATTTATAATTATAGTTTTATCAAAAAATAAAAGAAAGTAATATTTCTTAATTCGATTATTTTGATCTTTGTTAGTGAATTATTAGTTCAGTCATAAAATTGAGATTGTAATTTATCTATAAATTTATTTACACGTTGTAAATACTGGAAATACAGTCTTTAATTGTAATTCATTTATTTTAATAAATTTGAAACACTTTTTTGTAAAGGATAGCCCTATTCATTTTAATGTACTTATTGAATTGACACTAAAATCTTATATATATAAGGTATCGAGACAACTTATAGTATGTAACATAACCTTTAATTTTACATATATTTGTAGCACGGAGTATTTCCAGAATATTATCAAAAGTTAAGTTGAAAAGGTTAACTTTTAATGAAAGAGTTGCTATTTTGAATCTCCGCAGTAGGAAGGTAAAACATTAGATTTCCAATAAATGTATACCAAATTAAACGAAAATATCTAAAGTATTTAAAAATTAAACATTTGTGTTGATTCATCAATTTTTTAAAAAGTTATGACAGTTTAATAAAAAAATTCAAAAATTAATGTTTGCAAAAATCGTTATTTTTGGAGAACGTCCGTCCTATATATACAAGGAACGAGGAAAATTGTTTCAATTTTTGAGATTAATATCTTCAACTAGATACGATTTGTGATCTTTCCATGTATCGTCCAATAAAATAACTTTAGTAAGTGTTGAGAAAAAGTAGTAAAAGACATAAAAATTTAATAAATAATTACATCATAGTAAAATTAAAATCTTCTCAGCTTTGCATCGAAGTTAAAATATATTTGTATGCTTTTGTACTTTGTCAAAGACGTATTTAGAGGAAGCCATTATTTAAAGAGCATATCTTTCTATCCAAATATATTTCTCAACTTAAATATTAGGAGTTTAAAATTATTTTAAATACGTTATACTGAGGGTAGTTAAATCTTAAATACTCATGTAAACTTTATATTGGAACATACTAATTTTATATAAATAAAATATACTCAACTAATGATTAACGAATATTTTTCGTTGTGGGTATAAGCCGCTAAAATCAATGTCCTTGTTTATAGGTAAGCATAGTTAAAAAATAAACATCTATAAATAAATAAAGTACTTATATTATATAAGTACTTTATTATAAAACTATTATAGTTTTATAATTTATTTTGTATATTTGATTTTCAATAAGCTGCTATAAATATTTAAATAAATTATGTGAATATTTGAACACTAAAGATGACAAGCAGCTGCTTGGAAAATATTGACAAAAATTATTATCCCAAAATAACAATTTAAATAATTCAAATAGCATTACTTTAGAAAAATTACACTTTTTTTCGTATAAAATTTTATTATGATCTAAAGTAGGTTACAGTTATAGTTGCTACCATCTAGTGGTAAATTTACTTTTATACATTTAACCTAACAATATTTTAACACTTGATAGAAGCACTTGTCTTTTTGAAATACGACAATAGCTATTATCACTCTTTCGCATTTTTTATGTTTATATATATATATTAGAAAATTTCTTTCTGGTTTTGTATATAATAATTGTTGTTAGTGTTGTTACTTAAGTTACATTTTATTTTTTAGTTCAATTTAATTTATCAATTCAATTTATTCAGTTAATTAAGACTAAATTTATATTCAATAACCCATTTCAAAAAAAATTATGAGTGATCGAAAAACACTATTTATCTATTTACCTATTAATATTTGTTAAAATGTTTTTATATCTATGTAGCAGAATTGTAAAAACCTTAATTTTGTTTATATTAAGGTAACCATACATTAAGTATAAATGTATTAATATTTTATACAGAAAAATACGATTAAATAACATTTCTGGTAAGTCATTTCCTGTCATTAAATTGACCTAGTTTTCAACTATTTTATGATCTTGCCTAACTCCCTTTTTACCACAGATTACTCAATCAACGTTTTGAAATATAATCTCATTATCTATTCATTTAATTTTATATATCAATTTATAGTATTTATTTTAAATACTAAATTATGATTTATGTAAAGTATAAGTAGTTTTAAATATATAATAGTGAAAATTAAATCAATTGAATTTTTACTTTAATTGTAATTAACTAAAATAATTACGAACCAAAAGTTATTACTAAAGTAAGTTATCTACTAATCATTTTATTTGAATTTTTTAAAGATTTATTCATAGTGTAAATATATTTTTTTAATTATAATATTAATTTTATTATTTGTTTTTTTCTGAGAAATTTTATTTTGAAAACTTAATTTTAGATAATTTTGTATTCCTTTTATATATTTTAAACATATACATATATATACTAAACCACTTTGTTTTTGTAATAAAATATTTGATTTTTTTTTAATAGAAATATAATTAATGAAATTTGAAGTAATGAATATTCAAATTTTGTGTTGGAAGAAAAAGTATTAATTCTTATCATGTCTGAAGTAGTATCATTTTCGCCAGAAATGATTGTGAAAACTGAATTCGATGTATCTACAGGAAATAATGATGACAATTCCAACAATAATTTTGATGATAATGGAGATGGAGAAAATGAACAATCAAATTTAGATAGTAATTTAAATTCTAGCTATGATACAACTTCTGATGGTGGTACCTCAATTCATCGTTGTGATAAATGTGATAATTATGAAACGCATAACGAACGTAATTTAGTATCTCATTTAGCTACATGCCAAGGAACAGAAAGTAATAATGATAATGAGTTACAAGTGAACCGTAAATTATTTGAATGTGACATTTGTAATATGAAATTTTCAAATGGAGCTAATATGAGAAGACACAAAATGCGACATACAGGTGTAAAACCTTATGAATGTAAAATATGTCAGAAAAGATTTTTTAGAAAAGACCATTTAGCCGAACATTTTACTACACATACTAAGACATTACCATTCCATTGTCCTATATGCAATAGAGGTTTTCAACGACAAATAGCTATGAGAGCCCATTTTCAAAATGAACATGTGGGTCAGCATGATATGGTTAAATCATGTCCACTTTGTAATTTTCGCGCTAGTTCAATGAAAAGTTTAAGAGTTCATTTTTTTAATAGGTAAAATATTTATTTGTTAAGATTAACTTTATTAACTGTTTTTAAATTTAGTGTTCAATTTAGATAATTGTCATAAAATTCAGGCCTGAACCAATTTATTCAGACTTTTATGCAAAAAGTTAAAAAACTAATTAGTTGCGAATAAAATATTTCAATTAACTGATTTTCATTTTTTTGAAATTCCTTTTTTGTTCACATTATAACTTTTTAAAAATTATGAATATGAGTTATTTATATTTAAATTTCGCCCATTTTCTTTGAACACCTAGTTAGTGCAGGTCTATTCATATTATTTATATAAAAATTATTTTATATATTTTGATTACTTCTATTAAAAAATATGTATTTGAGTTCAATTTAATTTTAGAATAATACATTTAATCAAATTCAATAACTATTCACATACAAATATGCTCTATAAAATGGTTTAAGGATTAATGTTTAATATACAACTTTTTTTTATAAAATATCCTTTCTTCTTATATATTCCTATTAAATTCATTACTTCTCAATAATCTTTTGCATTTTCTTAAATTTCATTATGTAGCATTTTTTTTAAAAATATATTTTAATAATTTTATATAGGAAAACAAGAATTTTTTTTAAAATTTAAGTAAATAAATTAAATAATCAAATATATTAAAAAATTAAACAATAAAATTTGTTAGGTTTATAAAATTACAAAATAATATTAAATTATAATTCTTACTATTCTTCTTGTTTTAAAGACATGGAATTGATTTGGACAATCCTGGTGTTGGAATGATTAATTCTCCTTCAAATAATATAACTATTGACTTCAACAGTGGTAATATCAATAACAGTGGTGCATGCAGTGATAGTGGAGAATCTATCAGTGGTAATCGTTCTGAAAGTAATGCTACACCACCAATGCATTTTCTTACACCTCATGTTGAAATATCCATGGCAGAACCAAATTTAATGGAGTGTCCTTCATTTACTTCTCCTCCAGTAAGTAAAAGTTCTACATTTTTATATTTTAACTACACACAATTACTCTGTTCCTAATGACTTATTTTATTCAATGATAATTCAAAAGATCACAAAAAAAAACATCTAATTAAATCAGCGCCTAAGAACAACATACTCTTTTTAAAAACTCAATCATTTATCAGAATATTGTGAAGGTTTAAAAAACATATGAAAATTTTTTTCTTTTCAACTTTGAAAAATGATAAAAAAAAACCTATATTAAATTACTAATACAATGTACTATAAGATAAATTAAAAGAAACTATAATTTTTTAGTAGTATTGTGTATTAAAGCCTAAGACAATACAACAGAATCAGTTTTTTTAGAAATCAGATAACTCTTAAAAACTTTTTTTTTTTATATATGGATTTTAGCTTTGATGTTTTATATGTAATTATGTATATTGTGAAGTTATTATTGGTTATTTCCAAATCTATGGATTTTGAGATTTGTTGGCTATCTGAATCAACTGATACAATTTTCAGTAAAAGTAGCCAATTTTGAAGTATTATGCTTAATAACATAATGTAAATTTTTAATGATTATATTAAATTTTTTTTTAATTTCATAAAATATGTATCAAGTATTTTACAACAATGTTTCTAAACACGGAAATATTGATTAATACTAATCAAAAAACTATCTTACAATATTTATTTATTCTTTTTTATAATTGAATAAATAAAAATTGCAAAATAATGTTTTAATATTTTTCATGTATTATTTGTACTGTTGTTTATTATGCAATTGTGTGGTGTTATTCAGATTATACAGATTTTCAGGACGATTGAAAGTATTTTTAATTATTTATGTTTTACTACTTGAGTTTAACAGAATAGTTGTAGAATAAAAATTGTTCAGATAGTGCTGTTTTCTCAAAACCAATTTTTGTCTTTATGAAAAAATTAGAAAACCAAAAATGATTTAAATGTATCATTATTATTCTTTTATATGTGCTCTAGATGATTAGGTTGTATACAGTGGCATATTTAAGGGTAGACGAAATAGATAGTAGCCCAGGGCTGCATTAAACATTTTTTGTCCAAGGTTTACCATGTAAATATAATAATTATAAATAATTTTTTCTGTCTTTATATAAAATATTGTATGTAAAATTAAACATAAATAATAATTGTCTTCAAAAATTTTTAATAACTAAAAACCCATGAAATAATATTTCTCTTAATCAGTTTACTTTGCAGTAAAATTTTGTTTGATTTAGATAACTGATAATAACATTCAAATAGAAAATGTTCAAAATTCAAATAATGAAGACATAACTGCTGATAATGATTCTCCCAATTCTCCTCAATCTATCGATTCAAACTCAAATTTGGCAAATTTACCAGCAATGTCTAATATTACTAGACAAGAGGGTGAAGTAAGCACTATTACCCCATCTGTATCTCTTATACCAATTAAACAAGAACAAGGAGAAGAATTATCAAAGAAATCAAATCAAAATTCTATTCATAATGGGGAATCTGATTCTGGACGTTTTCAATCAACTACAAATTTAACTTCATTAATTAAAATATCTCCATTAAAATCGTTATTACGGGATGAATTTAATCGAAAAATTAATTTGATAAATACTCCAGAATCATCTCTACCCCATAATAACGATCCAAACGTTTGGAAATGTATGGCATTTAAAAAAACTTTACAATGTTCGTTTTGCGGCATAACATTTCCGGACCAAACCCTTTATTTTCTCCATAAAGGATGCCATTCAGAAACAAATCCTTGGAAATGTAATATTTGTGGAGAACAATGTAGTAATGTTTATGAGTTCAACTCTCATTTGTTAAGCAAAAACCATCAATAATATGCTTAAAGTAAAACAAAAATAACTTCTTTTTTTTTTTGTTAATAATAAGTAAAATTATTACAATTTTATTTGTATAATTTAATGAAAAATATTTCAACTTTTCATTTTTTTTCGATCATCTATAAGTATTTGAAATTTTTTTTAAAGCAAAATCAAATTTTATTTTAATAACTTGACATTAATTTATTAATTTAAAAACGTTTGAAAATACTTTTTAAAATATAGTTGAAAATTAAACTTAAAAGAAAAACCATATACATATATGTAGTGAGTTGTCAGGTTAAAGGAAAAATTGTTAGTACAAATATAATAATATAATTTTGTAATAAACATATTGTATTATATCTTACTTCCTATTAATTATATATTTTTACATAGTTGTTGATTTCTGTTCCTCTAAAAAATACCTGTCTTTTTATCATTTATTCAGTGGTGTTATATTAATATTTTATGTCTCAAGATAACTAGGAAATCATTTTTTACGTATAATTTTTATCTATTATTATTATTATTTTTGTTATTAATAGAAAATAAATAATTGACCAATTTTTGAATGTTACATATATTGATTTGATAAGTTATTTTACTATTTTTTTTATATATTTTTATTAACCTTAAATAAGCTAATATATATATATATATATATATAAATATAATTTTAATGATTTGAAATTTGAAAATTTAATTTAAATATTTTTATTTAATTTTACTAGTTGTTATTAATAAGTATATTTTACTATTTTTTTAAGTGTTAATTTGCTGATACCTGAAAATTATTATATTATCTATTTAAAATAAATATTTTAAAATTGTTAACTTCCTAATAAATTATCCGTCCAATGTGCCTTACCAGTATCTAAGTTTTCTACATAATATTTAGAATTAATAAAACTTATATTGATAACTATGGAAAAATTAAAAAATAAATAATTAATAAATATATATTTTCTATAATCTTATAGCTTTTTCAAAATTAATCAGTTTTAATTCATAAAATTTAATTTGTTTTTTTTTTGTACAAGGCATTAGCTCATAAATATATATTTACTAGAAAAAGATGAATGAGCATATTCACTTTGATCATGCTTTTTAGACCAAATAGTTTTAATGTTTAAAAAAAAAATTATTTACTTGATAGTAGAAAATTATTTTTATAACTTAAATTAATTATAATTAATATAATAATTTTATTTAATGATGTTATGATTATTTATAGTAGTAGATAAATAAATAAATATAATTACTAAACATTGAAAGCAGTTTTAAATTTTTTTAATTATACAAGTAAACTTTTTTGTATATCAACCATATTCTTGAATTACTGCTTTTAAAATTGTGTTATGAAATGGAGTTCAGGGTTGTACAAGTATTTTTTTAATGTATAATTTTATCTTTTGTTTGTTTTGTTTTTATTATCTTTAATAAATTAATTATTGTAATAAGTTTAACAGTATAAATTTCTTTACCAATGAGTAATATTAAATATAAGTTGCATTTTTCTATTTATGTGATAACTTAAATAATCTCTAACTTGATGTATTAATTAATATCTAATGTTTAAAATTATGGATCCTTGATTGTTAAAAAATAATTTTTGTTAATAATAATTTATTAATTAGTTATTCTAAATAATTGCCTGTTTTTATGTTATAATTTTAAAGTATCTTTTATTTAAGTACAAAAAGTATGTAATGTGATTTCAACAATTGACTGTAAGTTTTTATTATTCCGTCCAATAAATTTATACTTTTAATTTTTGTTTATTATTACTTCATATTTTATTGAATTAATTTAATACGATGCTACATTTGTAATAAAGTCCACTAATATAGGATTATCTTTACATCTCTCTTAATATTAGTGTACATTTATTTTTATTTTACAAAATGGTTAAATATTATTTTGGTATTTTTAGTAGGGTTGGTGGGTGTACCATGTGTTCAAAGTAAGACATTGTGAGATCTGATGTCCACAATTTAACAAATGTTCTCATATTGTAAACATCATTCAAGCATTATGTTTTATAATATGTGTATACAAAAAAATTTAAGGTCAAGTGTTAATTATTTTTAAGTTGGCAGATTACAAACAAACGCAAGCATATAACTAGGGGGTATAGTGGGCCGAGCCTACTTTGAATTTTTTCAAAGTTAATTGGGGGCTCTGGAACTCTTAATTAAAACTACAATCATTTTAACCAAATATTAATAAAAGGTGAATACATGAGGAAATAAATTTCTTGTGGTAATTACTCTTAAGATGTGTGAAAAACTATATAAGGAATCATATTACTAATGATCATTTGAATTAATTTGGCTTCTATTAGCAAAATCTAACAAAATCTAGGTTTATATGTTTTTGTTTAAATATTTTTCAATATCATAAAAATAGAAAGATATTATTGTATCCATTTTATTATATATTATGAATTAATTTTTTTATTATTAAAAATATTAATGAATTTTTTGTTTGACTTGTAAAACTTTGCCCACAGTCTATATAATTACACATTACCACATTAATTTAATTCAGATAAATTTAAATATTTATAATAATGATGTAAAAGACATACCTTCAATGGTGTAATGAGGTTTATTATAGGGAGACATATAAATAAGAAAATATTTTACTACTCTAAAACAAAACAAAAATAAAAAATTGTATCTTCATCTTTTACAGCTTGTTCTTTAGCACTACCATATCACATATCTTAACATTTGGTTGAGTACTGTACCGACACCCATAATCTTGAAGCGTTGACAAGTCACCCAAAAAATATGAAAGACTGCTGAAGAAGCTTCCAAAGATTCCGTAGACTTATATTTCTTTCTTAACATCTTTCTTCAGGTGCTGTCAATAAATAACGTCCAATTATGAAATGGCTTAGTGTCAGATACTCCAAGTCATTTGGGTCTGTTGATATCGGTGTGAGTGCCCAAAGAGTGATTTGGTACAGCCTCTCATAATCTACCAAAGTGAGGGGCGCTTGGGGAGTTACAGTTCCACTAAGCATAAGCATGAGCAGTTAAATTATTCCTATTGACAGGTTCATTGACTACCTTACGTAGGTGATAATTGCGTTCCTGGACTTCCTGAGATTTGTTTTCTTTAGGGTAAAGAGTTTAGCATAATCTCTTCCCACTTTAGCAAAAATTTGATAAAATGAATCGTAAAGAACGGAACAGCTATCTTCAAATAAATGACTGCCACAAAGCCCTTCTCTCCACAGAACAAATAAGAGTTATCGGTTGCAGCTTCAATATGTCGAGGTATACGAATACTGGTAATAAATCTTAACAAATCTGTTCCACTCTTCTATCATGTCAGAAGGTAACAACTCATCCTAGTTAAATATTGACATCCATAATCTCTGCATTAAAGTTTTAACATAGAATGTAATAGGGGCCAAAAAACTGAGTGGATCGAAAATCTTCGCAATTACAGACAGAATACCTTGTTTAGATGTCACACATTTTATAACATCGATGTTAGGTCTAAGGTCGAAGATCCAGAGTCCATTGCATGCCTAACACCGGCACACCATCCACATGGCTAAAGGCTAAAGAGGAATAGGCGCAATCTTCATCTGGACATCCCCAACAACTCCAGCGAATTATTAGACCATTTTTTAAGAGACAGCCTCGCACCCGCGAGTATCTCTTTAAGATAATTCTGGAATATCTTTGCTTTTTCAATTAACTCAAGCCCAACACATATATCACAAATATATATGTTTGACATTCTTCTGCCCCTTTCTGTAGACAGAAAGGCAACCTACCTTTTATGTTGTTGTGTATTAGGGTGGTCCTTAAAATACAAATTTTCAAAATTCGATTTACGCGCACCAAAAAATTGTTCTAATACATGTAAAAATAAACTGTGCAAAATTTGGTCCCGATAGGTTGACGTTAACACGTGCCGCAAGAGGGTTGAAAATTCGATCAAAAGGGTAGTTTTTCAGTTATTGTGCTTTATCTCAAAATATATGATTTTTATGTAAAAGTTTATAAGAAAGAAATTATACATATAATTATTTTACACAAAAAAGATTATTAGCGAAAAACCCATAAGTCAAATATTTACCTCCTAAAAGTCAAAAGTTCCATAAATATTATGTTTACCAGTAAAATTCATATATTTCGGCAATTTAAGTATATA